TGTGTTCAGATTATAAGCCGAAGTATCAGGATCCAAATCCCGCTAAGGATTCTGATGAGATCTAGGCAAGGTCGAAAATGCTGTTCACCCTGGATGAGAATACCTTTTGGAAAGCAAAGCCAAGTGAAATTCAATAGAATAGTGAAGCCTGTTGGGAAAATTCAACTACTAGTACTATCTAACTTTAAAAAAATAGGAATACAGTTCTTATTCTGACTGTCTGTCACATGACAAAAGCTCAGCTTGGATTCATCAGGATCACAGAACGATGATCCAAGGTTTCTGATGAGGCCAACTTACGAATCCCTTCAAACTAGCACGACTTTCTAAATAAAAAGCCAAGTCACCTTAAATTATAAAGGGAATCTTCGTAAGACAACTTTTCTTGATATATATATATATACATATATAGCAATAATAAAGCCAATGAAGTTGCCAAATCTTCCTTTGGAAGAAGACAAAAGCACTGTGAATTGATTTACAACTTGCGTAAACTGTGACCTTTGATGTTTGGTATGGCCTAGATTCAAAGCCTATTTGCGGTCAGATTAGACTAAGGAGAATTCTTCATTTACGAAACTATTCAATTTCAAAATGAACTAAGTATCATGAGAAAAGAGAATTGAGAACGCTGAAAAAAACAGACTTACCTCACGTTTGATGATGGAATCGAGGAGTTTGATAAGATCAAAGCCTTTGTATGCTTCCTTCCAACATTCGGCCATTTGGAGGACCAAGCCTTCAGGGCATTCAGGTGCCACTAAGCCATAGGTGGCTTTTAATTGCAAGTCAGGGATTGCAGCCGGAACCGTCTGATGATAGCTATGGAGAGGGAGGTATAGAATAAGGTATGCCATAGTAAGGGCGTCGCTAGTCTTACTAGTATCAATGGTAAACATTAAATAATATTATAGAATTGCTGATCACGTAGGTATATAAATTAAAGCTAACAGGAAGCACAAGTGGCTATAGGAACAAAAAAATTAACAAATGGAAAAACATCAGCAAAAGGGATAGAGAATAATTTTCTTGTGAAAGGTAATGGAATGAAAATGTAGGAAATAACGAAAAATGCGAAAACAAGTGAAGTTAGTGGCTGGCTGTAATGTTTACAACTTCTAGATGACGCTAGATGCTTAAAGCAAATTTGCAGACACTTTTGTCCTGCTTAAGCTAGCGGTCAGATAGCCATTTTGGGATGCGCTTTGAAGTATACACATCTGAATGAGAGTGAGCAATTAGTCCTCGGCCGAGAGAATAAAAACATTGATAGCTTTAGAGTGGAGTCGAAAAAGAGTTATCAGTTTAATTAGCTATTTAAATAGCAGTGATGCCCTCTTTTCAGCAAGTGAAATCTAACAGATGAAGATTAATTAGCTGTGTTTATAAAAAATATCCTAGCCTAATTCTTATTAATAAGCTCTGAACAAGTCATCAACGACCATTTTATATTTTGGTTTAAAGGGATGGTAATAGATCGGAATGTATGTCTTACTAGAGCAAAGC